TGTATGTATGTATGTATGTATGTATGTATGTATGTAGTAAGTAAGTAAGTAAGTAGTAAGTAAGTAAGTAAGTAAGTAAGTAAGTAAGTAATGTAATGCATGTAATGTATGTACGTATGTATGTATGTGTGCATGCATGCATGCATGCATGCATGCTTACATACATGTATGCATGTATGTATGTATGTAATGTATGTATGTATGTAATGTCATGTAATGTCATGTAACGTAATGTAATGTAATGTACTGTAATGTATGTATGTATGTATGTATCCTTGCACTTCCCCTTTGCTCCCCAGTATTTCCCGCAAAAAAAACACGGTTTTTCCAGCGTTTTCGCAAAGAGGACGTCCAAAAACATTGAGTTTTTCCAGATTTTCGGCAAAAGGATGCAGGAAGCCCAAGCCAGCAAAAAAGCCGGCAGGGGAATCGAGCCTGGGACCCCTGTTTTGCGACACCGGCTCCCCGAAGACTACGTTTAGTGGAACGTCATCAAATTGCCGCGCGGTACGTGGGGGACCCCCCCCCCCCCCAAAAAACCTACGTAATAGACGTCGGGCGGGGGGGGGTAGGGGAGGGGTTATCCTCTATCCTCTAGTAAGTATCCGACACGCCGAGCAATGTCGGCGGATAGCCGGATCCATCCCGATCGATCCGAGGCCTGATCACCGGCTGTGAGGGCACCACCATCATCCTGGGCGGAGCCTCTGCGAGAGACGAGCTCTCGGTTGTTGCGGGTTGAGAGCCGTGTGGCGGAAATTTCGAACCAAGGGAAAAACCAACATTTTTGGAAAGCCCAATGGAAAAACCCGCATTTTTGGAAAACCCAAGGGAAAAGAGGGAAAACCCAAGGGAAAAACCAGCATTTTTCTCCAGTGTCATGGGTCAAAAGATGGCTGTGGTCAAAACCAGTTTGGGTTTGATCCCATTTTGGTTGGGATTGGTGAATTCACCACCCATTTTAGGCTTCCTATTTTAGTGGTTGGATTGAATCGGATGTTCACTGTGGGTACGATTTGGATTTTGACCCATGGCCAGGTGTTTGGGGAGGGGGGGTGCTATGTGTTTTTATTTGGATGGGGGGGGGACCGAGAGATTCACGTTGTCCTTTTGGTTAACCAATTTGAACCCCGCCAAAAGGGGCGATCAACAAAACCAGAACATCAGAAATGGAGGACCCCCGTTTCGCCGGATTTTTGAACGGAAGCCAGCAGGAACCCTGTTGTCAGACCATGTTGAGACCCCCCCCGTTGTTGACCTTGTTAGAAACTCTGGGGGCGCCCTTCGGAGAAATATCAAGCGAATCGCAGGAAGCCTAGGGCAGTGGTTTCATAAATATTTTTTCGGCCGCAGGGGTTGGGCGCCACTTCCGTCAAATGGGGAGTGGTCTTTGCGGAAAGACATCTGTCCGAGCATTCCCTCTAACCTGATGTCTAGGAGTTGAATTCCATGGGCGCCGCTTCTTTTAAATAGGGAAAGACAGATGTCCCAGTATCAGGGCCCATGTTTAAGCAGGGTCCAGACCCCATTTGGCCTTCCTTTTGGGAGCCAAGGAGTTTCTACCCTTTGTACCACTCACAATTGCGAGAAAGTCTCTATCCATGTGGCTGCTCACTGCTACAAGATGGAGAATTGCGTGGATACCTCTGCATATTTGCGCCTCGGCTCAGCATAGAAACCCACGAAGCACAGCAAGCTGTGTTCCAAAACTGACAATGGAAGGGAACACTGACTTGTCGAAAACTGAAACCTTTGTGCTTTTGAACCGGCTTTTTTGGCCACTCAGGACTGAGAGGACTTCCCAACAGAATCTCCCAGCAAGGAGACAATGGACTTCCCAACTCGGATGCAGTGGGGCCTTTCAGGGGGCCCTTTGACCACAGGAATGCGGATGGATATCAACATACCGTGGCACTTGTTGATGTGGCTCAAAATTAAACGGGAGGGGCAAACCGCAGATTGTGGTCCATGTTTCCACTTACCAGGGCTCCATTTTGGAATTCCGGTTTTTTGAGCCACAGCCAGCCATTAGGTAGCCTTTTAGTGGGCTCTCTGACCGCCACAGGAATGCTGGTAGCACTCGGAGCCTCAGCCTTGCGCCCAGGTATTGCCACATTTCCCCCATCATCACCGGCGACACGCGAGGCCCCCCGCCTCGGGCTCGGGCCGCTGGGGCCGCTCGAACTGGGGCAATCTCAAGTTTAAAGTTTATCCCCACTTCTGTGATACAAGGGAATCTTTACATGGCGGGGTAGTCTTTGGGGGACCTTTTTCTTGTATCACTGAAGTGGGCATTTCCCACAGCCCTGAACTCTGGAATTGCAGGAACCTCAGGCAAGTCTGAGCTGACTGCCGCCACTTGTACCTGGCTAAATTAAGAGCGGCGTGCGCCAAGCACAGCTTCCTCCTCCAAATACCCGCTTTGCTCAGGGTAGCTGTTGGAAGTTCTGGACTTTCGATGCGGATTGACATCATACATTGAAACAAAACATCCGGCGGTGCTTGTTTCTAGGTACGTTATTTTTTTAGTGGTCCATTCGTTCTTGGAAGCTTCTCCCTAAAGTTCAAACCACCATGGAATCAAAGAAGGTTGATATAAGCACCATTCTTTGCCTTTGGAGTTTCATCCCAATTGGGTCCCGAGTCCCAAGGCCATTCTTCTCATGGACCCCAGACTTTGGGTTGTTGCGCTTGAAACTGCCTTCTCCACTCACTTGCATCGGACGACCGCTCGGATGAAACCACAAGGGATGGTTGATAGGGGTCATCCCATTTCTCATTTGTTGAGGATGGTGTTTCTCTTTCTAATTCTATTTCTCAGGGCCCGATCGCATCATTCATCTACCGATCGCAAGTAAAAAAGTTGCCGACAGGCCTTTTCAGAACCCAATTTGGATGAAACTCCAAAGGCAAAGATTTGTTGGTCATATGAACTCCCCCTTGTCAATGCGGCTTGTCAAGTGCACTGAGAGCAAGGCTATGTGGATTTTTCTCTGCATTTCATGGTTCTCAGTGTCATTCCCTTTCTCATTCCCTGCCTATCGCACCAGCAAGTAAAAGAATGGCCTGTCGGTCGGCCCCTTGATTTAATGGTTTGAAACGAAGGTAATATGCATCCCCCTCTGGATTTGGACCCCAACAAACCCCAACCCTCGCGCTTTTGCCTTTGAAAAACATAATGCGCTTGCTACCAAAAGGCCCGAGCCAGCCGCCCGGAAGAGAGCGATGGCAGGCATCAAGCTGGGGCCCTACAACGTGCTCCACTCCCACATGGCTTCGGTGCTCCATGGCTCTCAGCCCCTGGGGCCCATCAGGGGGTCGAGTCGGGTTTCGGGTTTCGGCGAAGGGCTCGACGTTCGAGTCACGGGAGCTTCAACCCCGTGGTTTTGGGGGGCGGTTTAAAGGGAAGCTGAAGGAATAGCCAAGATTTGAGCAGGTTTTGTTTTTGGAGAGCCCAAAATTCTGGTGATTGATGTTAAACCAGCGGTCTGCAAGAAAGACGAATGTGCCATGTGGGTTGGACTTCCAGAATAGTGGGTATTTCCCCCCCCAACCTTTTGAACTGAGGTGTGGGACATGGAGGCCTCAGCTCGTCCCTCAAAAACATCCGAGCCGCGGAGTCCAAACGGAGTCCTGACTTCTGAGGTTCCTCTTGGTTTCCAAACCTATCAAAACAGGGGGAGCTCGAGAACAGAATCGAGGAGCCACCCAAAACTTGCCGTTCAGCAGAGAAGCCCAGGTGTTCAACTCATTCCCTGCTGAGTTTCAGCGAGAAAAAAGCGGCGCCCTGACGTTCCAAGGTTCTTCCTCTTGGATTCCCTTTGAAAGCCTACCAAAACAGGGGACCAAAACCGGGAATTTTCAGGTTTTCCTCATTCCCAGCAAAGGAAAACCGGCGTGACGTTCCGAGGATGACCTTGGACCGTGACTTCGTGGATGCCTGGGCCCATCCCATCTGCTGCACCGCTGGCATGGCCGGGGAGACGCTGAGTCGGGACGCCAACCTGGAGGACGAGCCAAGCGATTCGGTTTCGGTTCGTCAGGCCACGAAAACAAGGTTATAACGAGATAAGTCTCCGTTCAGTGGGCTGCAACCAGGCTTACTAATCACTTAGTACCCTGACCCCTGAAGTACCCCGGTTCCTTGCCCCATTAAAAGAAAGGTTGAGCCAATTTGGATGATGACAATAGGAACACTATGGTGGTTATATTATCCCCCTGGTTTTATGGTGGCTTGAACCCCAGGGTTCAGTTTGTCTCTTGGTTTTAAATTCAAGCCAAAATGAAAGCAGCCATTTGGGGCGTTCCCTAAAAAGCAACACACCCAAATGGAGTACCAGGCCCCTTTCGGAGGACGCAAGCCCAAGAGGCTCAAGGGTTTCAGCATGGTCTAAGCCAACAGTGAGGTTTGAGCCATGGCTTATGGCAACAACACACTCTCCCAGTTTCTGGACTTACTTTTTTGGGGTTGGACCACGAAAAGTTGCAAAAAGGTTGGACTTTGTTGGGCAAATTCCAAGGAAGCGAGCCAATATAGGTCCTTTGGGTTCCCCTAGGGTAGTGCGATCTTTTGCTTTTCGAGGGCTCGTGGGTATGTCGTGTTGCCGGCGGGCATTCATATGGGTGTTGCTCAAAATGAAGGGGGATCCGCCATTTTGACAAAGTGCCAAATGTCCGTTTTTTTCAAGGACAACAAAAGGAGAGCCACAGAGAAATGCAGGGGAGGAGAAGTTGACAAAGTACAGCTGGCATGTGCATCCATGAAGGCTTGGGGTGTCAACCAGCAAAGAGATACGTGGCGCACCTTTTTGGTTTACCTTTCGGGTCACGGGCAACGGGGTCTTCAAAAGATGAAGTTCTGGGTCCCAAGTCAACAACAGTACGGTTTTCAGGCGTGTTTTGTTTCAAGCCACCATGAAGATTTAGGTACTTTCGAGGGCGTGAATGGAGCCGGTGATCTTTTCCCAGGTTGTTAACATGTGACCACGCGAGGATCAGAACACTACGTACCACTTTGTGCCATGGCAATGGCAAGCAAATCGAGGGATCGATTCGCCGGCCATGCGACACATCTTCCATGACACTGTAAACTCTTCATTGCCAAGCTCAGCGTTTTCACCTGTGGCTTTTAGTGTTTTCCTTCATTTGTCCGTAGCACAAAGGCAACCTTTTACAGGGGGTCGAAGCCTGCCCCAAACCTGGTTCAAGGACTCGAAACGCTTGAGATTCTGTCCAAACGGTTTGGATGTGAGCAAAGTTCAAATCCAGAATCAGAAGCAAGACCGAGAGTCTCGTACCTCACCAGAAACCGTCCCATAAGCCAAGTTCAATGGCATGACAGTCCTGGAAGGTTGGCGTGCCGCTTGTTTTGGGAGCCCCCTTTTGGCTTGAAAGGGAAGCCGAAACATTCCCAACAAACCAAGCGACTGCCAGAGACTCCCAAATCCAGCTGCGCTGTGTCTTCGAGCTCGAAGAGCGAGGGCAACCCTACCCGTAAGGTATACAGCTGACAGAGGTTTATGGAGACCCATTTTCATCACCTGAGCGGTGGGCGGGGGGATGGGGTGGGGGTGGGGGGGTATGGAGGCGCACAGGGGCATGGAGGCCCAAAGGCAGAGGTTTGGTGAGCTGTGGAGGCGCACAGAGCTATTGAGACGCACGTGCATGAAGGCGGAGTCCGGGGGCTGCAACACGCAAGGCCATGGAGGCGGAGGAGGCCTGGCAGGCTGTGGAAGCACACAGTGCCACGGAGCCCGAGACCACAAAGAACGCTAAGGTGGAGGCCAAGAAGGTGGACGGATCCACGGAGGCGCAGAATGTGATTGCGATCAAGCGGGCAAAGAAGGCTCGGCATGCTAAGGAAACAACCAAGGAAACGCGCACGGAGCAGCGCAAAAAGGAGCTGCGCAGGCGGGCTAAGCTGGTGGAGGAGGCCGCAGAGGAGGTTGGCAGCATCAACTTGGAGGGGACCGACGGAGCGATTTCTCGAACCATGAAGAGACCGAAAAGCCGCATGTTGGAGTTGGATCAGTACTCGTACGTGGAGGTGGAGGGGCGGGGGGTGGGGGTGGGGGTGCGGAGGTGGGGGGGGTGGGTGTGGGTGTGTGTGTGTGTGTGTGGGTGGTGGGTGTGGGCGGTGTGGGCGGGTGTGGGTGGGTGTGGGGTGGGTGTGGGTGGGTGGGGAAGGGGCGGGGGTGAGAGTGTGGGTGGGAGGGCAGGGCGGCGGAGGCTGGTGATGGCGAAGCCCTAGGATACCAAGCAGTTGTCTATTTCATTCCGGCTGGCTTATTTGCGGAAGCAAGGATCTCGACGGGTCGTTTGCTTCCTCGTTTTTTCCTTCTGGTCGTTTGCTTCCTTCTGGCCAATCCTCTCAGGAACGTGAGTCTTTTTGGTGGGGGCCGATTCGTTAAAGAAGGCCCAACTGAGCTAGAATAGAACTCGGGTAGATGAAGGTTCAGGCTTACCAGCCAGAAATAGGTGCGGAATTCCCTTACATTTAATTCCATCATAATACCGGGTTTTGATTGTCTTTCTGGTGCTCAGCAGGGAGGGAATGACCCTTATAAACCATCCCTTGCGGTTTCCTGTGCGATTTGTTAAAGAAGGCCCAACTGAGCTAGAATAGAACTCGGGTAGCTTACCAGCCAGAAACAGGTGCGGAATCCGCCGTATCCATTTCCTTACCTTTAATTCCAATTTAATGCCGGGTTTTGATTGTCTTTCTGGTGTTCAGCAGGGAGGGAATGACCCTAATAAACCATCCCTTGCAGTTTCCTTACAGGGCGCCCCACATTCATTCCCTCATTCCCTACCTATCGCACCAGGTTGTGACTCAACTCAGATCAGTTTTGTGGTAAACGAAAACTTTGTTTTTTCTTAGCAAGCGAGTCTTGGCGGGTCCGTTTCGTTAAAGAAGACACAACTGGTCCACAATCAAAACCCTTTGCACAAAGGCGACGTTTTGCAGGGGGGTCGAAGTCAGACGTGGCAATTTCTTCGGTAAAGACACTCAGATGGGTGCAGCTCAAAATGAAACGATTGGGGCAAACCAATTTCTTGGGTACAAACACTAATTTTTTGGAGCTCTTCGGTCACTCAGATGGGTCAAAATCCAAATCGTACCCCCAGTGCACTTCCCAATCCAACCATTAGAATATGTTCTAAAATGGCCCCCCAACAATGGGGGCACCTGGAATAGTATCTTGAGATCCAGTTCAAGTGAGTTTACATTTGATTTAGCATTGGCAGACTTGAGTCTCCATTTGATTTAGAATTGCTGGAGCTTCCTTTTGAGATTTGGAACTGAGTTTCCATTTGACGTTGTATTGCTGGAGCTTCCTTTTAAGATTTGGATTTGGAACCGAATTTCCATTTGGTTTCGTATTGGTGGACTTGAGCTTCCATTTGGTGTGGTATTGCTGGAGCTTCTTTTTGAGATTTGGAACTGAGTTTCCAATTGATTTCGTATTGGTAGACTTGAGCTTCCATTTAATTTAGTATTGCTGGAGCTTCCTTTTGTTTTTTTCTTGGGGGGGCCAGGCAACAAGACTTTATTTCCTGAAATAATGTCAAGTTGGGGGCTGAAGTACTACCCCCTTTGTGGGTTTGATTGTGGGCAGGTTTTCAACAAGAGACATGTAAGAAAACATGGGTTTGGTAAAGCTGACAATTTTGGATTTTAGGAGCAGGTCCAATTCTAGCAACACAGCATGAAGCATTGCCAGCCTCACCTAGGCTGTCTAATTACTTGACTAGCTAAGAGGCAATTGCACTGGGCAGGTTGTATTTTTCAGGGGGCCAGGCAACAAGACTTTATTTCGGGGGCCCCTGAAATAGTGTCAAGTTGGGGGCTGAAGTACTACCCCCTTTGTGGGTTTGAATGTGGGCAGGTTTTAAACAAGAGACATTTATGAAAACATGGGTTTGGTAAATCTGAGAATTTGGGATTTAAGGAGCAAGGTACCAAAGATCCAAGGACCAAGTCTTGGCTTGGCTATCTCTTCTCTCCTTTCTCTCCTCCTTTTTTTGGGGGGAGGGGGGGGATTTGTTTTTTGGCGCGGGTGGCGGGTGCTTGTCTTTATTCCAGGTGCATTTACTAATCCTTTTGGGCCCCCCATTTGTCTTTATTACGCGTGCATTTACTAATCCCATTTGGACAGTACCATCGGCTTTGACCACCCCAGCCTCTATATGTTTTGGAGCCACAGGGCAAACCGCAAGTTTAGTTTTTGGTTCCATTTACCAAGGTGCCATTTTGGTCTGCATTTTTGGGAGCCACAGCCAGATGGGTACATTTTTTAGGCACCTTTCGGGTTCTCTCCGAAATCCATCCTCTTGAAAGGGCCCTTGAACACTCAGATGGATCTTTTGGTACATTTTTGGAGCTCGGGAACTCAGATGGATCGGTGCCAATTTTTTTGGAGCAGCCAGATGGATCCTAGGTGCACCCCAGCAAGTTCTTGCCGGTGGTGGTGCCCGAGTCCGGCCCCCGCGGGGTGGCACCGCAGCTTCTGCTGCCGGAGGTCTACGATAAGGCCATGAAGGACCGATCCGGTGGAGCAATTCAGGGGCTTAAGTTGTTCCTTCTTTTTTTTCACCTGGTGCTTTTTTGTTGGTTTTAAAGGGAATGGATATCCATATGATGTTTTTTTTTTTTTTTTAAAAGTTTTGTAGTTCTATTTTTTACTGTTTTTTTAGGGAATTGGTATCAAGATGATTTTTCTGTGTTTTTGCTTTGAATTGTCCCTGTTATCATTATGATATGCTGTTTTTGTTGGGTTTTAATGGGGCAGCTTCCAGGAGGTCCCCTGTTGGGGGGGATTTGCTGTTGGGGACCCCTGCAGACTAAAATAAGGAACCCACAAACAAAGGGTTTCGTTACAGGAAAATCTACATGAAATTGCCCCACAACACCCTAAATAAGCTGTTTCCCTGTAGAGTTTCCTGCAACCCAACCCTTTGACACCAACATGCAAAACCATTGGTAGAGGAATCTCTTCTTGGGAAATGGATTGCCTGTTTTGGGACTGTCATGGGAATTTACAGGGGAGGCATACAAGGGCCGTTCAATCATTGGAATGGGGGTGTGAAGTACTTTAACACCAATTTGTGTGATTACAGGGGTGACAGACATTTATTGGTAATTAGTTGGCCACGTATATTGAGGGAGCCAACACTTTCTAATTGAATGAAATTATATACTATGCTCTTGTGGTTGAGGGTTGCCCTCTCTTGTGGATCCATTTGCCCGAAAGAGAACAACAGGCAACATATGGTGATTTGAGTATTCGACCCAGTTTGTTTTCTTTTCTTCAATCTGATTCCAGTTGCCAATCTACTTATGTACAGCTCAGGGGTACCCCTGGCTACCAGCAAGGCACGGGTCCAAAAGAAACGGAAATTCGGAGATTGGTGGGGATTTGTACTAAGGGCCTAAGGTCAGGGGTGGAATGGGGGTTGGTTTTGAAGTCCCCGGTTGAATCATGGAAGCCTAGAAAGCTTCTCCCATCCATGAAACATATCATAGATGTGTTCTTGGAGGGGAGCACCCCCAAAATTGGGTTTCAATTAACTTACTTGCCCCCTGTTTGATCTATTTTTAGTCATGTCCCCAAAAGGTTAACCATTGATTTCCAGCTCCTTTAGGCAAGTGAGTTAAGGGAAACCACATGCCACCATTGGTTTAGTTGGGATACGGACTGGGCCCCTCTTTGCCTGTCCCGGAAAACCGCCGCCTCAGTTCTTTCCTGAGCTCTACCCTCCCCATTCTATTCAGGGATCCTTCTCTTACAATCGGGCCAAAACCCCTGGAAAGAAGGCGGTGTCGTTTAGACAGAACGATGGGTGAAGAGGACGGGGAAACAAACCTCGGAACTGTGGGTGGCGAAATCCGCGAATCCGGAATTCGGGAGGGTGTAGCGTGCATTTGCTGAGGTGCTTGCCGTGTTTAAGCTGCTCATGCTCATGGCTTAGTGCGCCCGCATAAACTTGTTGAACCCAGGTATTGTGGGGGAATGATGCAAGTCTTTGAACACAACATAGTTTGTTCTTCAAACAAGTCTAAATTGGGTTCTACATGGTTTTGCAGGCAACCAAAAGAGCGCTTTGCCAGAAATGGCCACTATGGCCAGTCAAACTCTGAGAGTGATGTGCCAGGAGAGGCAAGAGGAGATTCGCCAGGCTGCTTGGTCTGGGCCAACGCCAATCGACCTGGGCTTGTGCGCATTTCTTGTTTTCTGCCCCGCCGGGTTAGAGCTCGTCCCCGGTCCCAGCCCCAAACATGGCAAACATCAGCCTGCTTTTGTTCTTGGTATCTTCCACAAAATCGGAATAGAAGATTGGTCTGGTCCGAAAACCCTGCGTTTTGATTGTTTTCGAACAATACCAATGTTGGCCCCTGGTCGGATTTGGTTTGCGAAGCCCTGGTTTCCGATTTGGTTCTTTCCGACGGGTCGAAACATCTCCTGAGCTACAATCAAAACCGATTCGGGTAGATGAAGGTTAGTAAGGGACAATCCCCTGGCCATAAATAGCTGCGGAAATCCGCCTTCTGAATTCTTTACATGGTTCTGGGTTCACCATTTTTTTATTGTGACTCACCTGCCCAAGTCACGGATCCATCGATCAAATTCGCCAGGTAATGCACCAGCTGCAGCACATTCCCAGCGAGGCCACGCAGAAGAAGGTGCAGGACCGAAGACTCGTTCGGCTTTAAGTCACCCTGGTTCCCCCAGCTAGGTGCCCCTTTACCGTTTCTTTTTGGGGGAGGGTTCCCCTACTAAAATAGACCACAGAAAAAAGTCGGCACCCTTATTCTAACCTCTCCACTGGGCCTAGAACTGGAATTTGGGGAGGGGGGTGACTGGAGATCTCCATTTAGGGCAACCCATTTTCTCTTTTGTGGGGAAGACTGAATAGATGGAATTGTGGGACCCCCCACCCCCCTCCTGCTTGAGGTAGGGGGGACACTCCCTCGGCGTTAAGTCACCGGATGAAGCGAGCTCACGAGGATGTGGCCATGGTTCAAAACCAATGGGACCCCATTTTGGCATAGGTGCACCACCCATGTAAGAACCTATTTTGGTGAGGATTCGGATGTTCACTGTGGGTATGATTTGGGTTTTGACCCATGGCCATGCGTCCCTACTCCAGACACCTGCTTCTTGTTGGTATTGGTTGGAAAGAGCCTGGTGTTCAACATAAATACCTTATTTTTTGTGAAAAGGGTCGACATGATACCCCCCACAAAGTGGGTATTGTGTGTAGGGGGGTAAGTTATTTACTTTCGAACCATTGCAAGAAAAGAGGTCGAGGTCTGTTTTTGTGTTTTTTGCACTCCATTTCTTTTAACTTGCGCAAGGTGTCCGGCTTTGTAACTCTTGCAAACATTGCAGAAAAAACGTCCCCCACATGGGAGGCGAGTTGCGGATGCGAAGCGCAGTCCCAGGACACCATCCAGAGCTGCTTCAAAGACTGGCTTCAGTCCACTGGGAAGGTGAGACAGCTCGGAGACCTCGCGAAGTTTGCAGCGCAGCTTCAGCAGAGGCCAGAGACCAGACATCGCTAGACATCAGTTTTGAGCGCGTCACTTGCTGATAAACCGAGTCGGGTATATGAAGCTTGGTAAGAGACGGTTGCGGAAATCCGCCTTTCTCATTCTGTGCATGGTTTCGGGTAGACCAAATCGTAGTGCCGGCTTTGATTGTGATTCTGTAAGGACCCGGTTTTTCCACCCACGAATTTAGTTTCCCACAAACCAAAAGGTGAAACGGAGGTCGCAAAAACAGCTTTGTGGTTGGAAACCTGAATCCCCAAAATCAGTCTCTTTTTGGAGTTGGGTACCCTTTGTCAAGTTGGTTTAAACTCAAGCCAAAAACTGATGACCGCCATTTTTTGCGTCCCTCTATTTTGACACACCTGCGCGTCTCAAATCGATCGCTTCCGGCCCTTCCGTGGGATGAGCATGCTCAGGCTGTGATGCGATCCGCGTTTCACCAAAGGTGATCAGTGCATGCAGAAAAGGAGAAAAAAAGAGCCGCTGGGCTGTCAGGGTACCCTAAAACATTTGGACATCCTGAAAATTCTGCAGGGGAATGTCCTATAAGACTTCAAGTGTCATTTCAGCAGTCATTTCAGGTCCGCTGTGCGCAGATTCGGCCGGTTTTGGGCTGTTGCGTGCCGGATCGTGCCGGCAGCCAACTGTTCAGGTCCCGCGGCGGATACTTGGGGCGGTCAATTCGGTACGTCAGGTAAGTGGTTAGTAAGCCTGGCTATAACCCACTTACCATGCGTCCATTTGCTTAAGAATATGTTTTTGTTTGCCCTTGTTGGTTTTAAAAGGAATTTATCACTACTGGAAGTATTTTTTTTGTTCAAGGGGTCTTACCCAAATGGAAGCATGGTTATAAGTCTCTGCTCAGTGGCTTATAACCAGGCGCACTAACCCCTTACTAAGTACCTAAGTATCAAGCCATTGTCCGGGGTCTCTTCCAAGCATGTTTTAGGGTCGACTCAATAACTGGAACCGAGGTAGACGATATGATCTTTGAGAGTGCCCAGATGATCAATTGTTTGGTGCGGACAAAGCATTGCCAAAACACCTGGTTGGAGTTGAAGAGTGAGCTTCACAAATGGTATTTGGCCACCAATCAACATGGAACCTGACAGGGACCCTTAAACAGGAACATGGTCCAAATCCGTACCGATTCCATGGTGAGAAGGGGTGAGAGGCTCGCTAGTTGGCCCACACTTTGCCTTGGAAAGGCGATCGGGGAAGGAGGCAATGAGCCTGGGATCTTCGAAAGGAAACCGCCAGCTGCATGGCGTTTCTCGGGGTCATGCCATGTCTCATTGCCCAATGAGCTTTTCTTGACTGACCCCTCTCAACCATTGGCTTCCCTTATTCGGGAATAGGTTCAAGGGAATGAGAACTGGAGTCACCCCTAAGAAGAGCCATCCATCCGATTGGGTTTCCAAAACAGTGGAATCCCCGGCCCCAGTCATTCCCTCCCTATCGAATCGCCAGTTGCCGCGGAACCCTCTCCGAAGACCTCGGAAGGTGACCCACCGAGACCTGAAACCCGAGAACTTCCTCTTCACCAGCAAGGAAATCGCTGATGAGTTTGCATACACAAGCCGAATGTAAGCAATAGATACATATACAATATGTATATATATATACATATATATATATATACGACATATGCATATATATATATATATATCTACACATACCAACATCTGGCCATTGGCGGTGAATGTTAGCTGTGGATTGTGTGGGATAGGGTCCATTAAGAAAATGCTATCCTGCCATATTGCGGATGGTTGCGAAATCCATTTCGCGCCACCGTTCAGAAACCCAACGGAATGAATCGATTTCCCAACGTAAATACCAACAAACACAAGTGGTGTCAACCATGGTTTCAAAGTGGTGCGAAATGGATGTCGTCCATCCATCGCCTGGGTGCGTGTTTTCTTGGGACCGAGCCTCCAAAACGGACTTTGGTCTTCCTTGTGCTTTCCTTTTAAACCCCGAAAAGGATACCCTCAAACAAGACACACCCATACTTAGCCGCAGCAAAGAGGATTCTACACGCGTGGCCTTCTTGCCCATTTAGGGCAGGTTCAAAACTCCTGGATCTTTGGCTTATGGTTCGATAGGGGCTGATACGCTCATTCGGTTCAAAGAATGTTCAACTGAACTCTTAGGCTTTTGGTGTCTAAGAGAAGTTTTGTAAGAGATCCAGAAAACGGTGTTGAGGAAGCGAGGGTGAAACTTTGACATTTCAGTCAAGAATCAATACGCGGGTAAGTGAAGGCCTTTGTAGTTCTTTATATTAGTTTAGGTAGGCCATTTTAATACCAGGTTGATTGTGATGTGGGGCGAGCGCAACCCCGTTTTCCCCGGGGACGTTCTGGAGATGCAGCCCATGTCACCCCCCTTTACTGACCTGCAACACTGTACCATTGTTTCCCTAAAGGAACTGCTCAAGTATTCCAAAGCTGCTCAAGTATTTCTTAGCAGGGATATGTTGAAAACTGCCATGGCGTATTCTGAGTTTCATATTCGCATTCTGTGGATTCTTCTCTCCCTCGTGGGCCCGTCACCGGGTCGCCGCCTGGAGAGGGAGAAGGGATGAGATCTTAGCCTTGCGTTGTCCGGTGTTGAACGACGATTTTTAATTGCGACCTCGCAAAGGAGTTTGGTTTGCGACCGAATTCACCCATAATTTGCCTTTGGGCAAGCGCTTGAAAGAAGAGGCACTTCCTTTGCAAGTGTCACTGTAGCAAACCAACATGTTCACAGGTGTCCATTTTGGTTGGTTTACCTGGTGGTTTAATCATCCACCAGGGCCATCTATTTCCCCAAAAAGGACATGACTGAAACGATTTCCAAGACTGAGAAGAACTGGGTCAGACCACAAAAGCACCTCAGAAGCTGCCAGTGGCAAGGACTCCTAGTGTCAAGCTGGTCTGCGCAAAGGGGCCCATTCTAGCTGCGCTTCCGCCATGGTTCCAGGAAGCAACTGCACCAAGCCAGGGCTGGTTATAGAAAGATGCCTGGAGTTTCTTCAAGTCTTTCTCATCTTATCTCTCCGAATCCAATTAGGTCCGAGTCCCCATGTTTCTTCTTTTGCTTTTTGTCAGAAGTCCATGGATCGGTTCTTGTACGACCGATTACTTGTCTGGAGACGTCCTTTTCTTTAGCCTGCTGCCGGCCTCAGTCAGGAGCCCATTGAGAAGAACTATTTGAAGATCATCGACTTTGGGCTGTCCTGCAAATACTCGGATGGCCAGGTACTGCAAACCAAGGCCGCGAATCGGTTTTGATTTCGATTTCGCAGTGGAAAGAAATCGGAACGCCTAAAGCAAACACGGGACACACAGACTGCCACAGGATTTGTTCGCATAAGGGGTAGTTCTTGACAGACCCTCCAAAACCTGGGAGTCTCAGTTGCTCACGTTCTAAGTTTCTGGACTGCATGTGCAGATGCTGTTTTTTGGTGAAGCCCGTTTTGCTGGTGAATCACAGGTTTCAGCAAATCTCTTGTGGGGCCTCTTGTTTTCGGGGCCGTCCAAAGAGCCGGAAGAGACAGGAAGCATCAGGACAAAAAACAGGAAACTGCAGCAATTACTAAACCTGGTTTGGTCACATGTTGGGCCAAATTTTGCAAATCCCCCGCGACTTGTAGAGAGAATAGATGAAATCAGTAGCCCTCGCCATGCTCAGTGATTTACCTAGGTATCCCAGACCTGACCACCCTTTCAAAACCAAAAGGAAAATAGAGTACCGGTTTCCTACTATAGTGGCAAAACACCTGGGATCCACAAAAAAACATGAGTTTTAACCCCATCTCTGCCTGGGGTTCCTTGCCCTCATGAAAAGAATGGCCTTGGGGGTCCCAATTTGGATGACCATCCTGACATGGGTAAATCATGGGTGGCTATATGTGAACCCAACCCTGGTTTTACCCTCCCACCAATAAACATGGAAAGGCAAAAAGGCCCTTTCCAAGAGGAAAGTAGTCTTTCTATGAATCTGTGCACAAACCCATGTTAGCTGGAGGGTGGTGTGTTAAGGCTCTCCTTTTGGGACGACTCACCCAATCGCCTCTCTCAAATCGCCTCGCGTCAGGCGGGGACGCCGTACTACGTGGCGCCCCAGGTCTTGGCGGGGAAATACGACCAGGCCGCCGACATTTGGAGCTGCGGCGCGACTCGGATCTCACCAAATCTGGGCTGAATGGGCTGCAGGATCTCAGCCTCACTCCGCGGCCGCTCGGGGGGCGAAAAGGACATGTTCCGAGTTGCCCGGGGGTCGAGGGGTCGAAAATGACATTTTCCCAGTTTTGCCGGTGGCAAGGAACTAGTTTTTCATGGTGGTTGTTGGGAAACATTCATTTTACATGTTCGCTTATTGTGGTGTAGTGGGAAATCCCCACTTGACTGCTAGCATTTTGTATTTTTTGCTCCCCTTCCAACGTCAACCAAGTTTTGGGGGGATTCCCTTTTTTTTGGGGAAGCCCAATCGGATGGATGGCTCTTCTTGGGGTCACTGCAGTTCTCATTTCCTTGAACCCAGGGATTCCTTTAAAGGAAGCCATAGGATGGATGGTTTGTAGGGGTCGAGGGTGTTCCCATTTGAAGTTCATAGTTGTTTGTCCCTCGGCAAGGAGTGTCCCTCTGCATGGGGACCCAAGCCTTGTGTGTTGGAGGTTCTCGGCCAGTCCGGTGTGCGGCGTTTTGGTTGGGTGCCATGCGCAAAAATTCAGTGAACAGGATATGCCAGATGTCTCCGGTCTGTTTTATGCCCTCAACCCTGGGTAGACTTAGGATACATTTTACATTTTACCAGTGACTCAAATTGAAGCAAAATGAAGCAAACGATCAAATATACGCTAACTATAACTGGGCCTAACTCTAATCAGGAACCCATCGGCATTTTTGTCCAAAAAGGACGCCTACAGCGATCTCCGAGGTGATCATGTTCGTGCTGCTTTGTGGGTACCCCCCCTTCTTCGGCGATAGCGACTCGGAGGTGCTCGCGAAGGCTCCGGGCCTGGGGCAGGTCTGGGGGTCGGCTCGTGTTTTTTTCTTCTTAAGAAGAAAGGGGCATGCCCAGGTTGAATTGTGGAATTTGCAGATGCCCTTGGCTTTTTTCGGTTTTCGGGGGATGTGTTTCATGACTGGGACGTATCAGCTGAAAAACCTGACAGTGAGTGGTTACAACACCCCAGCCTTTCCAAGCAACAGCTCCCAGAGGGTTGCGGCCAGTCTGATATTTGTATTGCAGCAGTCGCTTCTTTCCCTCCCCTTTGCGGGTGGTTTTAAGAACCATGTTTGCAATGCTCACTTGAAGTGAAGTTTCATGAGGGTGGTGTTCATCTTCCAAATGTAGCTGTGGCAAAAGGCAGCTGCATGGTCGGCCTGGCGTGCAAAGGTAAGGGCAGTTGAATCTATTCCGGTGCTCCAAACCCACAGAGGCGAAAAAATAGGGGACTCTATTCTGGTCCAAATTGCCCGAGAACTAACATGAACCTCTCTTACCAGCCTGAAACACTCGGATTTTCGTGGCATAAATCCGTGCCAGCCGTTTCCAGCGGATGCCGTATATGCCGACCTCAAATGATGACGCGATTGCTCGACATCCGGCCACGTCTTGCGACCCACACTACGCATCCGCGTAAACAATTCGGTCCCGTGCCCAGAGTTCCAGCGTGATTTGGCTGTCAAAAATGCGTACCCAAGATGGTTTGCCCTGGTAAATGGAAGACTAAAACATGCGGTCCAATTCCTGGTGGTTTTATTTTGACCCAGACCCATTTGGTTCTTCGTTCTCAAGGTTTTGCGCAGTTGTGTCAGATGCAATCGAACGGGCTTCCAACCGCAGCCTCTCCAGCGGTTCGCCGAACGGACTGCCGGTGTCGGCCTAGCAAGGTCTTACGACCATACCGTTTCTTGTTTGGTTGGGAGGATTCCCCTACTAAAATAGACAAAAAAGAAAAGGGTGGGTACCCTTATTCTAACCTCTCTACTGGAGGACCTAGTTCTGTAGCCATGCCAGGCTTCCCGCAAACCATCAAGCTGGCAAGGAGAGCTTGAGATCTGTGAAAGGAAACCTCGCGCAGAGACGCACAGACGGACCAGTGCCAGCGCTCCAGCTGTCACGTCTAGCGCCGAGCTGGGAGCTGAGCCGTTGCCCCACTTCCTGCGCACCAGGTCTTTGTGCCAGTGGGTTCTAGCTTTCCAAGCTCCAAGTGGAATTCATGGGCTTTGCGGATGGACTTGGGGCCTTTGGAAGGTATGTCAATCTGCCAAATCGAAAGATGAACCCTCCGTTCACGGTGCAAGAGGAGAGGCCAGTGACCTTCCTTTGCACCTGCGGAACACTCAACCGCTGGCCAGCCTCCGGCACCAGAAAGTTCCTCCAACAGTTTGGCGGCTGAAACTCCGTGAAGTGTCAACTTGCCCCTGGCCAAAAGGTTGTTGAAAGAGCGTTCGGTGGCTTAAACTCTAGGCTTCAGTTACCACCATTGAACCAATGGGGGTTAATACAACCACCAAGTGTTACCTGAGGATTTTCATCATCCAAATTGGGTCAACCATGGCTATTCTTTCCTTGGTGGCTCCCAGCCATCCGGTTCCCTAGCGTTTTAGCCTGTTAGCCACTAAAGTTAGTCACTTTTAGCAGGGGATCCGAAACGGGCAGCCCAGTTTCAATGGGGGCACTATTTGGTTGTGGCTCAAATAAAGGGTACCAAAATGGCACCTTGGTATGTGGAACCAAAGGCCAAAACCCGCGGTTTGCCCTAGCTGCTGGTTTTTGAGCCACACCCATTTGGAGGTTTGCCAGCAGTCGGCCATTGCCAATTGCCCCCTAGTTTAGGAGATTGCAGACTTGTTTAACGGGAACTCCGCTCCAGAGCAACCCACTGGATGTTCCATTTGGATTTTTTCTCGGAGCTTGGAGCCGGAGGTGAAGATGGGCAGCTACTCCTTCAATCCAGCGGACTGGAAGAACGTGTCCGAGGAGCTCTCGCTCGAGCGGTCGTCGCTCGAGCGGTTGGAGCGTTCTCCGGTGGGTTGAAGGGGTTCTTGGGACGGGGTCCGGACTGTAGACCCCAAGACAGAGAGAACAATCAAAGGGAAAGGTGGCAAGTTGTGCCGAACCTGGTTTGGTGTGTTTGGGGTGTTGGTGTTGGGTGCCAGGAACGTGTTGGGAGTTTTGTATGGGGGGCGGGCAGGGAAACATGGAGTGGGCCTGCTGTGAAGCTGAGTTCCCTTTTCTCCATTTGCTTTGCAGCTTAGCAAGATATCTCTGGGACAATGCTAGGTTGGCAATGTGGTGACCCTCAAAATCGCTCTGCCTGAAACCTGCCTCTATGCCATCTATGCCAAGCGCGGTCGGTCGCATGGTCCCCGCAAGCCTCAGTTCTTGGCCAGACGAAACCATAGCCCCAGGTTGTGTCGTACTCACATGGGTATGGGTCAAAATTAAACCACCAGGAATTGGACCGCAGGTTTGAGTCCATGTTTCCATTTACCATGGCAAGCCATTTTGGGTACCTATCTTTGACCCACAGCCACATGGGCAGGACGCCAAGAATCTCATCCGACACTTGCTGAAGATGAACCCAAAGGAAAGGCGCGGGATCTGCCGATCTGGGGGATCCTTTTAGGATCAAACATGCGCAATAGCCAAGGCCGGAAGGGTTCACCACCTAACAGCTGCAATGTGGGGTTGTCTGAGAGCGCTCAATACGTGTGAGTGTCCTTTGGTGTCTGAAGCATCCCAAAGCAACAATGTAACGAGAAGCCGTTTCGGTGGGTTTGATGCCATGACGGCGCTTCGCTGGCACAAAACTCAGAGTGGCTGTCACAATTGGTTCATCCTTATGACTGTTTCGTAACGGATCTTTGGAGTTTAACTTGTTGGTTGAACCAGCTCAGATTTCCGAATTGGACCCACAAGTTGATAATGAAATATCCACCCTTGCCAAAGAAGAACGAGGTCAAGTGGAATGTCGGTGACAGGTACAGTGCCGAACAAGCACTGAATCATGAGTGGCCGGCGCCCTAGTGGGTTTTGTTCGTTTTGTTTCTGACATGTTTGCCCTCTTTACGTCTTTACGTGAGTGTTTGCGCGAGCTGCCTTTAGTTGGTGTTTGTTGTTTAAACTCATCCGGACGCTCTTTGTTTTTCTTCCTATGCTTGGTATTTTTTGGTTTGGGTTTAGTTGCTCACACATATGTGTTTATGTATTCCCCAATAGTTGGAAGCTATGGGATCGCTGCCGGGGTGGTTTGGGGCAGCTTTCAGGAGGGTTCCGCAGAGTTTCAGAGGGTTCCGAGGGGTCGGGAGTGCAGCAAGAGAACTCTTACATGGCAACCATTTCTGATGCGCTTGTCTATTGTCAGGGCTTTCTTGTGAGTCGGTGTTGTGTCCATTTTGTTGCAGCAAAAAGCCCTGGCACCAAAATTGACATGTCCCATTAGGGAATTTGTGTAATTCTGTAGCCTCAAATACGGCATCCCCGGAATCAGCAAACGGAGGCTAATTCCTGATGTCGTGTGTAAGACAAACTTGAATCCAAGTTTGTCCTTTGGTGCATTTTGCTTGGATGTTAGGGCTTTAACTTTTTGCCAAGTAATGGGTTTTCCAGTAAACCACCAAAAGTCAAACTTGTAGCAGGGGAGCAGATTTCGCAACCGAGTGTCCTTTAACTTGGACCCGTGGCGGGAATTCCTTCAAGCCTCAAGCATGGTGTAGCCCTGAACCCCAGGCTGGGATGAACATTATCAATGGACCTTCAGTCAGCTTGCATCCTGGGGGGAGTGCAAACTAGTGGCGAGCTTGCCTTGGGGAAAATGATCTGACCGATTTCCCAAGGCTCCAAACCCTTGGTCAGGCAGAAGCTGTGTTTCATCACCTCCCTTTTCAAGCGCTCCAACTGGCGTTTTTTTTTTTAGTCCTCGTGTCTTCCTTCGGTTTTTTTTCCGGAAACGGCCGGGGGTGTCCCCACGCCGCCCACCAGCTCCCCCCAACGCCTCCCTCCCCCCCCCGCCGACCGCCCCGACGGCTCCGGCTCCGGCTCGCTGAGGATCAAGCTGAAGGCGCCCAAGGCCACCAACGTCTCGCTGCAGAGCAACTTCGTGGACAACCTGCGCGGCTTCCGGTCCCAGAACAAGCTGAAGAAGGCCCGGGAGGGAGGGGGATGGGAGGGAATAAGGACAGAGCGAAGGGCAGGGGCCTAACCAGAAGACCAAAAGGCGAAAAACATGTTTCTATATGATATTATGTAGAATGATAGTTATATATATCTATATACCCTGAGCGTCCAAGGCCTCTCTTAGTGAGGCCTAGGCCTCGTTCTGGAAGAGAGGCCTACTTTCGGAGGCCCTAGGGCCTTACTAAGTAAGGCCTTAGGCCTTACTAAGTGAGGCCTTCGGCCTTAAAAAGTATGTTCCTAAACAAGGCCTAGGCCTCGAAAAGTATGTGTGGCAATCTTGAATAGTTTTGGGACCACCTTTTTCTTCAAAGGTGCCAGAGGGGATCCAGCCACTGGACATCACCTCAGCTGTTAGAACTCGAGAAGTGGCAATGCAGTAATTTAGGACCCTCAATCTCTTATCGCACAATGTAGAACCCTCGATCTTTAGTGCAGTACCCTCGATCTTCATGCAGAGACCCTTCAAACAATGTAGGACACTCGATCTTCAGGGACCCTTCAAACAATGTAGGACCCTCGATCTTCCAGGAAGGAACATGAGGGCAGCCATGGCGTCTCATGTGCTGGAAGTCTACGAGTATGGGATGATGGCGCAAGGTGCGCCCCTTCCTTTGCTTGCATGCACCGTGGCCCAGTTGTATCGATCGATCCGCACTGATTCGCATGCTCAAGAGCGGCAATATGAAATGATGACATGACATCATCGGTATCCAGGATCTAAAATATGAAACGGGTTCGAAAGGGGCACATACACCTGCACGCACCTCGCAGCTGCTCGCCCTTTTGCAGCCATGCCCGCCATCGTGCGTCGAGAAGTGGTTGAAGACCTCAAGGCAGTGGCAGGGGCAGATTCGTACAATTAGCTCCAATCATTCTAAGGGGCAACTCGACCCAGTTCAAATATTATGCCTATGCTTGCATGCATGCATGCACTTCAGGATTTCTACAAGGAATTCATTCAGGAGGACCCGACTTATGTGGCGAATCGACGAAGGGACTTGAGATGTAAGCTCGGCTTGATGAACCGGGACCCCCGTGCTCCTCGCTGAAGGTTTGAACGAACATTTGATCAAACATCATGTGCGTTCGTCTTAGCTTGCCTTTCAAAGGGTTAGCCCAATGCCTCATCCAAGGTTCCAAAGTTCACAATGGTGAACCTTCACCCAGATGCTGGGAAAACCAAGAAAGTGCTGTGCCTGCGAATAAGTGAGAGAGAGGCGGGGCTTACTTGTACCGGGCCTTATCAAGAGCCCTCACCAACATGTGAACGCTTGAGCAGGCAGAAGACGAGGTGAACTTCCCGCTGATAGCGGGGCTGTTGGCGTCGTTTGCCCCGCACTTGCCGTACAAGCGCGAGATTGAGGCCGAAGCGTGTTGATGGAGATTTCAACCTGCAATCCTGTGATCCCTGCACTTGGCCAGGTGGCTCTCGAACACACTTCAAAGAGTCAAGGCTTGAATCCGCAGTTCGAGCAAGATTACGAGCACCAGGCGGTGCACTGGCGAATGTTGAGCCCCCTAGAGGTCCATACAACGTTGCATACCTGACTTCAATGCCTGTCTTGCCCTTCACCTTCATGGCCTTCGTGCTTAATTCCAGCCGCTCCTTTTCAATATTCAAACACTCCTATACCCCGCCCCTTGGCCCTCACCTTCATCCTGACCAGCTTTTTCTCAATTCTTCAGTCTCAACAACCCCTGCCTCCATCACCTTCAGCCTGACCCACCTTCAGCCTCCCTGGCCTTCACCTTCACTCATATATTTCTGTCAGCCTAAAAATGAATTCAGCTACGGGATGATTTTTGGATTCGATTGGTAGGGGAGCCTTTATCAACTATAAGGGCCCAGCATGCCTTGCAGGCCTGGGCAGTTGTTGAAGGAGGATTGCACAGGGCGCTTTGCGCCTACGTGGTACACCGCCTCCAGCGGAACAAGGGAACCAGGCGCCAAAAAAACAGTTGCGTTGCAACCAAGACACCGGTCTAGCCCCACGAGGCCCAACCGGGAGCGGATGGCAGAGCTGAAGTCGATCCTCACCAGCAAGCTCCAGGAGCCCGCGCAATCCTTAGATCGATGCGTTGATGGCGCTGCAAAGCGCTCACCGCAGGAGCATGGGTTGCTGCGGGATGATGGGAAAAGAATCTGCAAGACCAGATCCAAGAGCTCGCTCTCTTCGGGCCCTGAGGCGAAGGGTTCCGGTGAAAAAACGTTGTTGGGAATATTAATATCATCATTGCTCCCTTCGCTTCTTGATCCTTTTTTCCCAAGCTTGAATGGATCAAATATGAATGAATTGAAGGATTCTTGCAATAGCTGTCGAGTCAGGAGACACACTTGTGTTTCCTTTTGGGTGTCATGTGTGCCTAAACCAACTCATAGTTCGAACAGCCTCCCTGTACAAATTAAAAATACTGTGTGCACATGCATGTCGTACACATGCACATATTATATACATGCGAGATGCAACATGCATTTGCATATGCTGGCATGGCATGATATATCCTGGACTGCCGTTTGGGCCAAAGATTTCTGTACCAACCCTTGTTTCGTATATATTGTGAAAAAATGGTACCTTTTCAGGGGGGGGTAAAAAAATCGTACCTTTTTTAACTCGAGCATTTTTTTCGAGCACTTTTTTTTTTAAGGTTCATTTTGCTGTCTGTTGGCATGGTTTGGCTAGATCATGGGCTTAAGGCGGTTGTACGTGGCATGCTGTAAGTTTTGGCTTAAGCTAGCTCTGATGCGATGCCTGACATGTCAGGACTGTGCTTGAATGCATGTGCACATGTGTGTGTGTGTGTTTGTGTTTGGGTTGCCTCCGCTGCAGGAGTGAGCTGGCTTGGCTACGTGACCAAAGGTGGCATTAGCCAGATTTTCGGGGTCAGCTTGAAGGCTTGGTCACGCATTGCAGTCATGCACGCATTCAAGAAATTTGTGCATTTGCGCATTCATGAGTTCACGCATGCACGATTCACTCATGTACGTATTCACGCATGCATTCACACGCACGCACATCTTGTGCCAGGTCGGTGCACTGCTTGCCCTTGCGCCCCATGTGTTGCTGTGTAATTGGTTTGCGTGTTTGTGTGACGTCACGCATATGTATTCATGCTTGCAATTGTGATATGTGGCGCTGCATGCGCGGCAGCTGGCTCTTGAAGCAGCTTGGCGCATGCGTGTTTGCATATACGGGTTGCGTGCAATGGCCTTTTTGGAACAGGCAGCCCAGCTGGCTGCTGCGTGGGCAAAGGATGAGGACGTGAAGTTGCTTGGCGCTCGCCACTCGCTGCTCCGGCTACCTCGCAAGTGCAAGATCTCACGAGGACTTGTGTGTATGTGCTGTTGCTGTTGGCATGCCTGGGCTTCCTTTCCGTTTGCTTCCCTGCTAGGCCTCCTCAAAAGCAACCACATGCAGGTGGCTCTCGCCATAAGGCACTTTGGCATGCGGCCGTGCACAAGTGTCCTGAATGGCGCGATCTTTCAGTTTTTCTCGATTTGCTTGCCTCGGTCTGAGCATGTTTGCAGCGCCTTGCCTCAACGAGATTTTGGGTCAGAGCTCATGCGTGCATGCGTGATTCTCGTTAATGCATTCCAGACATGTGTGCTTGGTCTATCTAGGGTGTTTACATTGCTCAAAATGCCCAGGTGCCAGAACGCAGATGCATGCACGGCTACTGAAACGGCTGGTTTCCCTCTTTAGCCGTGTTGCCAAGCAACTTGACAGCACACATTTGCATGGCTGCCCATCCGCCTGTCACGCACGCATGCATGATGTGCACAGGAGACCTCACCGCCCCAGGGTCCCTGAGATTCGCAAGATCTATTTGGTGTCTGGCATGCCCGTCCCAGGCCATGTGACGTGCACGCGTGTGTTTTAGCAAGCACAATATTTGCAAGCGCTGCCCATCTACAGGTATAGGGTCAATGCCGAATGCATCATGTACCACTTGAAATCTGTGCAGGCGATGGTGATGATGCTGACAGCGAAGATGGCGGCGATGAGACATCTGACAGTGAGAGTGTGTCCTCGGACTCGGGCCCTGCCTCAGAGGAGCTCACTTCATTCTGGCGTTGTGTGACATGTGTTTGCGCTGTGGTCTGAGGAGATCGTGGATAGGCTTGGCACAGGCGCTGCCCTCAGCAAACCCCACACATGCGGCAATGCCCACGCATGTCCACTCACGCTCACAGGCCAGCTCAGAAGCATGTCCACTCACGCTTGTGTGTGTGTGTGTGTGTTTGCAATGTTCATGAATGCACACGCCTGCCCATTCATGCCCACTCAAACTCATTCACGCATGCTTCGTGAATGCCCATGCATGCATGTATTGTGTGCTTGGATGTGCCTGGCAGATGATGATCCTCGAGCAGAGCCTGAAGAATCTCCTGAAAGTGTGACCCTGATTTTCAGCCCATTCGCATGTTGTGTGTTTCCTTGCCAGTCAGTCCCTGCCAGGCTCTGTGATCCACACGCCGCCTTGCAAAGGTGTGAAGACAACTCCTGCTTTTGCACATATCATGCCTGTGTGGTGCAGGGTTGCCTGAGCCGACCATGAGCACGGAGAAGGAAGAGGCACCTCCAGGACCTGTGCAGCGAGTGTGTTCTTTCCCTCTCTCTCTCTCTCTTTCTCTATCTCTCTATCTCTCTATCTATCTCGCTTTCTCTCTCTGTCTCTCCCTCTCTCTGCGCACATTAGTTTTGAACCCTGCAGGAAACAACTCTTGCATGCATGCATGTTTGTTCAACTCAGTGGCAAGCGCGTGCAGGGCCAGATCAGCAGCTGCAAATGCAGATGCTCCAAGAGCTTGCAGACCTGGAGCAGCTGCTGGAGTTGAAAAAGGAGCTGGACCACTTGATCCTGCTCCGGAAGCAAATGGTGCTTGCCTGAGCATGCCTGCATGCATGTGTTGTCAAGAAAACCTGACCATGTAAAGTTGTACTGGTGGCTGCGCATGCATGTGTGTGT